GGCTTATGGGGATCTTTTTCAGGCCCCGAATGGAACCACTCTTAAAGATGTTCCTCCTTAGGCCCCACAGCAATTAAGATGTGAGGATCACCACAGGGAGGCTTCCAGCCCCAAGAGAGACGGCAGCCTGTGCCAGGAGAATACTGTAACTTAAAGCACAGAAGAATGTCCTTACCCATGGCGATAGGTGTCTGTGTGAGCAAGCTGACAATCTCTGGCCTCTGCGTGCACATGCATGGACGTGTGCACCTGCACACTCTCATACATACATACATATATACATACATACATACATACATACATACATCACATCCTTCTAGCACACACAGAAGGAATCTGTGAAATACCATTTTTAAGACATGGTCTTTGTATAGGCTGAGAGTGCTCAGATTCTCAAAATAAACACCACACAGCAAGGCAAACACTTAGATGTGGCAAAGAGGAAAACTTGAAGTAGAATTCAGAAAGTCAATGAATAAATTTTTTTGGGGGGGGAATAGTATACATGTATGCTTTTACTTTTTTGTTTGTTTGTTTGTTTAACTTTCCTGAGTCCTCTTTTATATTTTGGCAAATAAAAACAGAGTGGAGGAAAGAGAGAAGGAGACAGGGAGAGTGGGGATGGGAGAGGGAGGCTGATTCTGCCGTACTCCACGTACAGTGTAAAGAACATAAACGGACCCCTGTATTAGCAACACGAGCCTCCATAACAGACGCACAGAGTCTGCAATGCAATTTCATGCAGAATGCACGCATCCTTAGTCATGCAGAGGTAAATTATGTAAGCAGCCTTCACCCAAGCTGATGGTAAGCAAGATTTTGAAACATGACTTTGAGACCCTGTCTAGGACCAGTCTGACTGGACCAGGGTGGGTTTGAAATGACCACATCCCATGTGCTTTGAGTTTGTCTGTGGCTTTTGGCTTCGTGAGCTTTCTTTGGTTTTGTTTTGAGATTTTATTTATTTATTTATTTATTTTGTATGTGCATGTCTGGTGCCCTCAGGGCCAGAAAGGGAGGGGGATTGGATCCCTGGAAATTGAGCTTAGGTGGTTGTGAGCCACCGTGTGGTTGCTGGGAATCAAATCTGGGTCCTCTAGAAGACCTCTAGAAGAGCAACAGTGTTCTAAACCACTGACCCATCTCCAGCTCTCCGTACTTGTAAATTCTTAATTTATTGATTAACAAGGTGCTTACACCGCGCATGCTTACTAGATTCTGAGGCTACGGTGCTGACCAGTTTGGTTGGAATTTACGTTATTGGAGTGATTGGCCATGAACATAAGTAGCTAGAACGTCAGAAGCACATTCACGCTTTAAAAGAGAGATAGGTGATGTCGTGGGAGAATGCAGTCTCCCAGGCAGTGCTAGAGAAAGTGGGGAGCTGGAGTTAGGAATTGGGGAGGTTAGATCCTTGCTGCCCCAACACACAGAAATCTTGAGGAGATGCCATGTCCAAGATAACGGCATTTCTCTGAACATTCAGTTCAATGCTCATGGAGTTTTATGTACTGGGGCTGTTTTCTGGGGGGGGGGGGGGGGGAATTCTAGATGTTAGTTAACTTTAAGTAAACTGAACTGTCCCTAACAGACCACAGAGCTCTGGAAATGCCAGCAGGGGATGGTATAGTCTCCACTGTGGGGGATGAAATGGACACTTCCCTAATCTCTGGTTTTGAAAACGTTAGCAAAATTCATCCTGAAGAACTGAGAGGCCCTGGAGGGCATGAGTCTCTGTGAAGATGATTGTTATTTCAGATTTACTTCCACAACGCATTAATTTGTTTCGCTTTTCATTTCAATCCACAGCCTGGCAAACATCTGCTGAAAATACCTGCTGTCTCCATCTCTAATCTACGCCAGCAAAATACCTGCTGTCTCCATCTCTAATCTACGCCAGCCGGCTGGGCAAGACTCTCCTATCCAGGCCCTCCATTCAAGAGCAAATGGAAGAATCCGGTAGGGGCTCCAAGTGGAAGATTAAGCCTAAAACCAGATTAGCCTGATCTACCAATCCACAATAACATTTGAACCAAGCCTCTTCAGAAAGATGGCATCTTCCCGGATCCTAGGGTCCCCCATTGGTACGTAGGCCTTCTTGCCTACACCCCTCTTGGCAGCCTGCCTAGTCTGATACTAAGCAGTATATTAACCACCCCTCCACATTAAGCCTGCTTTGCTATGAGCTTGCTGCTTAGTGGTCTGCAGAGGACAACCGTGCCCAGCTATCTCCTCTTAATGAAGTACCCAGACACCCTCAGTACAGTAAATGCAGCCTCACGGCTTGCCTCAATAAAGCCGTCTCTTAAGACTGAGTTGTCAAAGCTCTGTTCACTTGCTACACAAACAGATCTAGTGTGGAAACACAGCATTTAACATGAACATCTTATTGCCAACAATGGGACATCAAAAAGTCTGTCAACAGGCTTGGTTGTGTGTGTGTGTGTGTGTGTGTGTGTATAGTTTTCTTTTTCTTTCTTTTTTTTTTTTGCTAATATAACATTAAAGAAAAATAGCTTTGTTCTTTAGTATCGTGCAGACGAAACACCCACATGCGTAAAATACATAATTAAAAAAATATGAAATTGGACCTAGCACAATTTTTGACATCCTAGTTAAAGGCTACAAACACAAGGTAGAGATTACTTTACGAAGATATGAAAGCAGCCTGGCCGTCAACGTTAGACATTTTCTTAAAGGTTTTGTATTTTAGATAACTCCACAAAACTGTGCAAAATTCACCAAAATAATAAATATAACTCAAAAATCTTCCCCTGTCCCACGCCCCCACCCCACCTCACCTCCCCTGCTTCTTTATTCAGAAGAGGAGCCTTGGGCAAGTTAGACAAGCATTACTATGTTCAACTCTCAGTTTATGTTTTATTTTGACACAGAATTTCACTAAGTTCTTAGACTAGACTTGGACCCACACTGTAACCCAAGCAGGACAGGCCTTGAAACCTTTGCTCCTCTACCTCCCAAGCGGCTGGGGTTACAAACCTCCTATCCAGCCCAGCTTACACTAACCATTCCATGGGGTCTCTGAGAAGGAAAGAAAATCAACTGAAATAACCTAGTTGAGCTCGGAAGGCACATACTTGGAATGCCATTAGATACAAATCCCAAAGTCAAAGACAACTGAGTCAATAACGGGAAAGAACAATGTAGGAGATCTGATTCAAGCACTCATTCACAAACGTCTCTTTCTCACGTGAATAAAGTAGATTTGATCCCAGATACTGACCTAATTACAGGAGAGCGCATCACAGTAGAAGCCACCTCACAGTCAGTCAGAAAGCATGAAGGCATTCCCGATACGACTTATTTGCTATTATCCTTCTACTACTTAAATGAAGTTATTTGCTTCCTCAACTTTTCTGATTTCAAAAATAAATTCGTGTCACTAGAATTGGGTTGCACCTGGAAGCCCTGAAATCACTGTAGCATTACAATGTGACTGCTACACACACACACACACACACACACACACACACACACACACACACACACGAATGCTAGGTCATGTATGTTTTTTTTTTCATTTACTGAACTGAGGAACCTTTCACAAACCAGTTCTGTTGGTCTGTTCCTCTCTCTCTCTCTCTCTCTCTCTCTCTCCCTCTCTCTCCCTCTCTCTCTCTCTCTCTCTGGACCAGTGAGATGGCTCAGATCTTTGCTTCTCAGAGTAGAAGGAGAGAACAGGTTTCACTGAAAGTTGCCCTCTCATTCCACACGTATACAAGTACGCACAGACACAGAGTAAATGTTTAGAAAAAGAACCCCTTGTGGTTAACAGAGACAGCTCAGTATCTGTAAGCATGCCATTACACGAATATTCGTAAGGTATTTTCAGAAACAGTAAAAATGTATTATTCCAGTTTCCTTCATGAACAAAAATCTCTCTCAACCTCTAAAAGGCCACAGCAAGGCAAAGTGGACACTCCAAATCCTAATGGATGGTAGTTTTCAATGTTTCTGTCATTCGTTTAATAAACAAACAAAAAACTGGTATGTTAAAATCTCTCCGGGGAGCCTGTTCCCCGTTAGGAGTCGAAATCTACAGGATCGCATTTTTCACATGCGTGGCACATTTCCAAGCCACGGGAGTATGGAAAACATCGGTGCTGGGATCCAAAGTTTGCTGTGGTTTTAAAAGCAATCATTTGCCCTTTTTCGACACGCTGCTTTAGTCGCTTGCATTTCGGTAATAAATATTAAACATTCCCTTTTCTATTTTGGTTCATCTTTGAGAAAAGTATTACAGTCAGCTCAGAGAGAAACGTGTCTGTGTGTGTGTGTGTGTGTGTGTGTGTGTGTGTGTGTATTTTGGTCGTTTGAAAAGGGAGACCACACCCACAGACTTCAGTTGTCTACCATGGCTGATGGTCCTCTGTTTAACAAGGAGGAAAAAAAAAAACCTCCTGCCCAATAATCATGTTTAATATATCTGTAGGCTGGAATTCATTTACAGTGGCCTTCAAGGAGTTCTTAAGTTTTTTGTGAAACTTAAAAAAGTTTTAAAATCTGCAGGAGGCCAGACAGCACCCCTGCTACACACTGTAATCTGACACTAGGCTGAAGATTGACCAAGTTTAAGTAACCCAGAGGAACTGTTTCCTGCTTTCAGTTAGAACAGTCTACAGTGACCTGTAATAACACTGCTGAGGCGAGGTTACTAGCGGGCATTAGATGAAGCTGTCAGGAAGTCCGTGTCGGGTTTCTTTCTGTTCGTAAGAAGTCAACCCTGCTCTCCTACTAATACTATACAAGATCAGAAACAAACAAACAAACAAACAAACAAACAAAAAACCCAAAACACAAGCATTGAAAAATCCACCCAGGCCAACTATGCTTTGAAATATGAATTTAATTTTTTCCTGAACTTCTTCTGCACCCAGTCAAATTTGCCAGGGAACATCTCTGGGGGGAGGGGGGGCACAAGAGCTACTTCTAACTGGATGGAATGTGCTTGACATTGGTTTGTTTCGGCCTCACTTTACCTTGTCTGCTCCTGTAAGATGAGATGAGGCTCCACAAAGAACTTGACCCTCAGTTTAAGCCGGTAAGGTGCCAGCCCATCCATCTGCTGAGAGATCCGGTTTCTCAGATTCAGCCATAAGCTTTCACCTTTGCTACCCGTGAACTGCAGCCCAAAATAATCAACTTCTATGATTCCCAAACGCCTGCACACCTAAAAAAACAAAACCAAAGGTATGGGATAAGAACAATGCAAACCAAAGGGCTCCATCCCAGTGAGGGACTGGAACCTACTTTTCCAAAGTTCTACCTTGTTGCAATGCCAGTTGGTAGACCGGAAAAACAAGGTTTTAAGGTAACAGGGAAGCCAAAACGCAGCTCTCCAATAGAGGCTTGGCCTTGTTTGACTATTTCTAGGGTCTGACCAATTGCACAGGGAAAGGAGTCCCCCAAAACAGACTTCCCAAAAGGCTGAGGAAGAAGAACCCACAGGGTGCTTTATTTCTCATTCCAATCGCTGGAATTCCCTCCACCAGCACCATCCGCACAGCTGATTTGGCAGCTGATTATCTGGACAGTTTTAACCATCTGGATTCCAAAGCCACAAACGTATTGAGGAAGCATGCTACAAGTGTCAGCTAAGCTTTACAAGCGGCTTTCCAAACAGCTCAGGTCGACAGGTCTCGAAGGCACAGTGTTTCAAGGGGTCAAAATGGGTCTGTCATATCCATTATGCACACACCGTTAAGAGCCTTAGTCACTCTTAAGAAAACACACCTTGTAAAGACCCCAAGCAGGAGACCGCCTGCAGAACCGTTCCCCGGCAAATTACTCAGGATACTCTGGATCCCTAGCAAGCCTGGAATGTCAGGTGAACAGTCCTTCTGAGAAGCAGCTTCAGACACGGGCCCCACCTGGTCAGCTAGGGAACCCCCGGGCCAGCGACTGTTTGCAGCCACCTCTTCCCGGGACGCGGGTGGCGCTACCGGGCTTTGCAAGGACTCCACGGGAGGCATCACACACACACACACCTGCGGCAGGTGTGCCGGACCACCTTCTTTAGAGAAAAGTGCCAGGCTAGCGGACAGGGTGGATGTTCTCTTCAGTGTCCTGGTCTCCAGGACCCGGATCCCCCACCGTAAGCGTCCTCTATGCGCCTCCCCCCACCCCACGCTCGCGGGAAGGAGGAGGCTGGAGCCTGGCGTCCCGGGAGCGCTCCACGGGCCGCTGCTGCAACGTCGCCCGGCTCCCGAGGAGCATCCCCGAGCTCCGAGGCTTTCCCAGGACAAGCAGGGATCCCCTTTCCTATCACCGCCCTCACCTGGTTGAGACAGTCCTCGCCGTTGGCTTTTGCCTCTACCTCCACCTCCATCAGCACCGCGTCCGGCCTCGTCACATAGCACAGCATGGCTGGGGCCGCCGCCACCGCTGCCACGGCCGCTTCTTCTCGGGTGTGCGCCGGGGCTGTCGCCTCACCGCAATTGCTCCAAGTCGGCTCCGAGCTCCGCGAGGAAGGTGCAGCCGTGCAGCCACCCGCCCTGCACCCCACGCAGCCGCCACTCGAGTCCCCTCCACCCCCACGACAGCTAGTTCCCGTGAGCTACACGGCCGCCCCGCTCCGACAGCCCCACTGCCTGCGCCGCTACAGACACGCGTCTTTTATAGATGCCCCGCCCCTCCGGCGCCTGCCTCCGCCAATCACGGCGTGCTTTCCCCTCCTCCCTAGCTCCACCAGCCAACAGTCAGTCTTGGTAGACTGAAGCCCCACCTCCAGGCACCGCCTGTGGAGCTGCGGGAGGTGGGAGCCCATCCTCTCCCCAATCCCGGGTACCGTGGCGGCCTCTGCCACTGGGCGACGCTCCTCCCATCCCGCTGTCGCCCGCAGCTCCAAGGGACGCCTTTCTGTCCCGGTTTGAGAGAATTGTGATCAAACGCTCCCGCGATGCCACGGTTCTCAGGATTCCTGCGTGGGGTTACTCTAATAACCAGGTGGTTTGTGAAAGCCCAGAGAGAAGCGAGCAAGCCAGAGACTAAAGTTAAGGCTTTTCCGCTGAGATTTGCCACCGTTGGTTGTCAAAAGAATAATCCTAGTAGAAAAGTTTTTGCAGTTGACCCAGAATAAGTCGGTAACTTGATCCAAGCACCATTCTTACATTAACAGGTACCAAGGGTTTCTATGCGTGGGTTCTGCTAAATTCAAACACCTTACCAAGTTGCTACCTCATCGAATTCGTTCACTAACCATCTGATACACTCCTGTCCTTTCTCTCAGACAGCCAGATGTTACCCCATCTTAAAGGTAACAGGCTCACCTCGGGACCTAGCAGGAGGGGTATCACAATGCAAGAGATTAGTAGTTAAAAGTGTACAATCTTCATGTTTTTACTACCTATTTCTCTTGGCCTATACTGTCTTTTTTGATTTATAAGCCAGGTGTTGTCAGTTCCAGTCTTGGATCCTTGGAAAACTTAATCTCTCGGAAGTCTCCGGTAGGATGGAGACTAGATTATTTATTTATTTTTTATTTTTTTGGACCTTCCTCGAACATCGCTGTGAAGCAATCTAGCCATCCGTGCCTGCCAATGATCCTATCTCTCTCTGTCCCGTTTGTTTGCTGTGCATTTAAGACGAAGTCTTGCTGTATAGCTCAAGATGGCGGTGCACCTCTTACTCGGGCTCAGTGAGATTTATTTCTGACAAAGGGGAAAGTATCAGAGAAGGATTGGGATCGTAATAGAGCCCTCTCGGAGAGAGCCGTGCAAGCTCACGGCTTTGTGTTTCATGAACACACGCTACAGTTCCAGCACTGCAGAACCAGTGTATGCTTGCATTTGTCCAACTGTCTACTCCTCATTCCTTTCCTTCCGGGCAGCAGATCTGGCATGTGTAACTGGGAGATAACATTTAGATTATTGCTATCTAATCTGTGGCCCATCACTAGAAATTTCCACATAAGGAGAGGAGGCAAGATGGAAAGACTGGTTGTATTAGTTAATATTTTTGAAAGGCCAAGACTTAACCAGCTTAAGCAAGCAAGAATTTAGGGGACAGATTTGGGAGTATTCCTAGAAACTGAGAGTAGAAAGGAGCTGAGAAAAGAACAAAATAAACAAACAAAATAAACAAGACAAGAAAATAAAACAGAAACGTTCTATTTTGTGGAGCAACTATCTTAAAATTATCTTAGTTTGGGTTTTGGCAGGGATTTTTTAAAATGGCTTTTTTTCATAGAAATGATTCTATATTTATATTTTTAATATGAACAGCTAAATAATTTGTAGAAGCATAGGAAATGTCAGGTTTAAAATTTTTTTAATTAAGAAAAATTTAACAACCATCAGTTACTTACAAGCCAGTTGAATGATTAAGATTGACATGGGCATTTTTCTAACCTGTATCCATTGAGTTCCTTCTCTGGGGTCCCCAGTTAAGAGCTTAATCATTTTAAAATCAAGTATCCTCAGATAAGGGCCAGTGAAACGGCTCTGTGGGTAAAGGCACCTGCCACCAAACCTGATGACCTGAATCCCATGACCCATATAGTGGAAGGAGAGAAGCAACTCCCACAGGTTGTCCTCTGACCTCTATGTGTTACATACATGAACACTAAGATATAAAAATTAGAATAAGGCATTGCCAGTTATTACTGAGGAAAAGAAGTGGTTTTGACAAAAGAGATCAAGGGCTGGGATTGTAACTCAGTTGACAAAGTGCCAGCCTAACCTGGAGTGCCAGGTGTGGTGTGTAACAGTGTGCCACCATTGTGTGTAATTGCAACGATACGACACTTAGACCAGCAATCCCAGCAGCACTTGTGGGGTAGAGGTAGAAGAATCAGAAACTGGAGATCATTGTAGGCTAAGTAGGGAGTTTGCGGACAGCCTTAGCTAAAGACTAGACCTCAAATTAATTAAATAAAAATAAATTTAAATTAATAAAAATCAATTAATGAATGAACTAAGTAATTAAAACTATGAGCTGAGTGTTGTGGCACACATGTATACATACATGCCTGGAATCCCAGTACTTGGGAGGCCTCTGAGGTAAGTAGATCATGAGTTTGAGGCCAGCCTGGGCTACACAGTGGGATTCTGTCTAAAAAAAACACAAGTGTATAAAGAGCTTGCTGTGGAAGCTTAAGGACCTAAGTTCAGATTCCTAGCACCCACATAAAGTTCAGGGCCTGGGGGCGGGGGTGCTTTTAATCTCAGTGTTGGGAGGAGAAGAAAGGAAGATTCTAGGGGCTCATTGGCCAGATAGTCTAGCCAATCAGTGAGCTCCAGGTTTAATAAAAGACTCTGCTTTTTGAAAAATAAAACTAAAAAATTGAAAAAGGTGAAGTGTTATTGGCACCTAATGTCAACCCCCGGTCTCCACGTGCATGTGAGCAAACACAAATAAAACACACAGAAGCATAAACGACAAAACAAGTAAACACCCCCCACCCCCACGCCCCTAGGGAAAAAAAAAAACATTAAAACCAGGAGGCATGGTAAAGGGAAAGAACTCCTGATGTCTGGGAAGAAAAGGATCCAGGTTTCTCCTGGTGCACGTGGAGGAGGAGGCTATGAGTCTGTCTCTTCCCTCCTGCCATGTCTTCCCTGTGATAAGACAGAGACTGGTTAAGAGATGGGAAGGCTGCGTGAGAAAGCATATTATGTTTAAAAGACTCCTAACGGGAATGGAAAAACCCACCGCAGAATTGCTTCTTAGAAGACTTCACCATCTGCTAAAGCTACAAAGCGTCTGGAGCCAGTTTCAAGCTGAGTCTAGCTCCAAAATAAGAGACTCGGAATATCCAGGTCCGGAGGTTGAGTCGCATTGAGTCGTGATAAAAGCCAGGGAAGACACTCTTGCTGTCTGCTTTCCTTTGCCCTCGAGTAGGGCATGATGCTCCTGCCTGTAAATCTAGCACCCCGGAGCCTGAGGCAGGGAGGCTGCCATAAATTGGAGACCAATCTGGACTACAATTGAGTTCTGTTCAGCTTGGGCTACAGAGTGAGACCCTGTCCTCCCACCCCCACCCCCACCCCCAGAACCAAAAGAATAAAGCTTTACACTTAGCTAGCATAGTAGAAAATAATATAGCCTGCATGAACGTAGATTATTAAAAGTGAGATCAAAATTTAAAAAACTATATCAAAGTGGCAGAATTGATGTACTCAGTACATGCCTTAGAGTTTTACTGCTGTGAACAGATACCATGACCAAGACAACTCTTATACAGACAGCATTTAATTGGGGCTGGCTTACAGGTTCAGAGGTCCAATCCATTATCATCAAGGCGGGAACATGGCAGCATCCAGGCAGGCATGGTGCAGGAGGAGCTGAGAGTTCTACATCTTCATCTGAAGGCTGCTAGTGGAAGACTGACTTCCAGACAGCTAGGATGAAGGTTTTAGAGCCCATGCCCACAGTGGCACACCGATTCCAACAAGGCCACATCTCCAAATAGTGCCACTTCCTGGGCCAAGCATATTCAAACCAAGACATTACAGTTCTGGTTGTTCCAATAGACCCAAACGTAGGCTTTTCTTCTCTGTCTCCTATGCCAGGTTGCAAGAGTAATACATACAATGCATGTAATATAAAGCAATGGTTACGTCCATATAAATTCTCCTGGCTGAGTATGTGTCTGCTCAACATGGCTGTGGACCTATGTTTGTTCATTATATTCTCGACATTGCATGCAGGGCTACAGAAGCCCTGCACGGGGTCTCAGGGGAAGCCCCTGGGAGAAGTGTCCGTATCACCTGCCACACCCGCCTCTTCCTCTCTGCATCTATTCGTACGAGCGTCACCAGAAGAAGAGTTATCTACTGCCTGAAAAGCTGCCCCTTTGCCTTCACACATTATTCGAGCTAATTATTCACATAAGTAACGCTTCATCAGGCATAAGTGTGTTAGAACAAGTTGAGTGAGCTGAAATCTCTAATTTGAAATATTAGCCTCATGAAACTCAGTAGTTTAATTTGATCCGTGCCTACCATCAAAGTACAGCATCTCATTTCCGGAACTGGCTGGTTAAAAGGGGAAAGGGGACAGAGGAAGAATTCCTGTATTAAATAAAAACTGGGCGATCTGAAGTGGCATTGTCTTAACTGGATAACCGTTTAAACGATTTTTTTCTTCATTTTAGCTACTGGGATAGTTACTTCGAGTGACAGATTACTTGAAAGAGAACAATGCACAGAGGGAAATGAAGTGGATGTAATTTTATCAGGACGTTTTGCTTAGAATCGATGGGATGATGTTTTCATCTGCATACACTGTGCTCTAAATAGTCACCGTGGGGCCAGTGAGATGGCTCAGTGTAGGGCAGGGCTTGCTGCCAGGCCTGACAACTTGAGTTCAATTCCTGGGACCTACATGGCAGAAGGAGAGAACTGACTCCTGCAAGTTGTCCTCTGGCCTCCACCTGTGTGATGTGGCACATGTAACACCATACACACACACACACAGACACAAAAGAGAGACACAGAGAGAGACAGTAATATTGATTATGACGTAAGTGATACGTAGCAATTTGTAAAATGTAAACATATCAAGATATTGAGATGAACTTGAGATGTTCAATTCCAAATCTAATTTTATGACTATTAGAAAAATCATAACAAGAAAGAACATACACA